CAGAGCCCGACGCGGGGCTCGAACTCACGGACCGCGAGATCGTGACCTGGCTGAAGTCGGACGCTTAACCGACTGCGCCACCCAGGCGCCCCGATGACCTGCAGATTCTTTAGTGCATATCTGTAACTTGGAGGTTTTTAAAAATTATTATATTTATTTACTTATTTCTTTATTTATTTTAAAGTAGGTTTCACGCTCAGTGCGGAGCGCAACACAGGGCTTGAACTCAAGACCCTGAAATCAAGGCCTGAGCTGAGATCAAGAGTCCGGTGCTTAGCTGACTGAGCCACAGAGGTGCCCCAACGATTTTTTTTGTTTTAAACGTAACCGCAAAGCTATAATCCTATGTAACAAAATTGACAGTAACTACTTAATGTTTCAAATACCCATTCCAAGTGCAGATTTCTCCATTTCCATTGGAGAAATTGACTTCTGGCTGTAGGTGCGTTCCCATCCGGGTCTCAGCACCGGACCGGCTCTTCTGCTCACGTTGAAGTGAAGGGTTGGGGGCGCTGGCGATCGGGCTTCTCGTGTCCCATGGTTGGTTTGCGCTTGGCTGCTCGGGTGGGGTGTTGTCTGTTACGTGGGCACGTTACCATGGAGGTGGCGCGATGTCACAGTCTGTTGTGACACCACGTGAGAATGTTGAGGGGAAGGGAGACATAGAGCCCATTTGCTCTTGAGTTCTGGTCGATAAACCTAGGTAGTAAGGACACTGAAAACCATGTGCGAGGCCCAGAGGTTTATTTCAAGAATTTCCTGCCTCTGAAAATCCCTCAGTGAGGTGCCCCCCACCCCCCGAGGCTCCTTCACCTCGTCGGAAGGCGAGGGAAAGCCTCTGTGCCTTCGCTCCCAGTAAACAACCGTCCCACACGGTCGGATTTGGGGACTTCGGCAGTTAGGCCTGTCGTTAACCATTTGAAGAGGCACAGCCTCCCCATAATTTGTGTAGTTTTGTCCCTAGTTAATGGGTCATTCCGAGCCTACCCAGGCAATTTGTTGAGCGTTTGGGCAGTTAATGGTCATAACCCTGACCTTCACATTAACCTAGCCGCCTCTTGTCAAGGGCTCTCATGATCTTCAGGTAACAGCCACTGCTCCCATGAGTGTCCACCTTTTGTTTTTTTTTGCCCCCACCCCCTTCTGTTTTTTTGCAAACCAGATCGATCCACAGACCCTTTTGTTTGTGGCCCCTTTCAGTTTCCTTCCAGCTCTCTCGTCTAGAGAATTTCCATGTCGGGAAGCTTTGTTTTTTTAAGGGGCCTTTGTCCCTTCTTCCTGGGGCTCAGCTCTCCCTGTGCCTTTCCCTCCTGGTCACCCACTCGGTTACTTCCTCTTACCAGCTAGATTAGAGCAGAGGAAGGGGACGTGTTGATTTGTCAGTTTTGTCAGGGTCTGTCGGCAGAGGATAGCGCGTACTCAGTCCGGCCAAGTGTAGCAGGAACTTGTTGGCCAGCAGTCAGCAGCGACCCCCAAGGGGAGTTGGCTGAAGCTTCTCCGTACAGAAAGTGCTTCCTGATGAGCACCCCAGCCAGTTTAGGGTTATCCTTAAATCTGGTAGCTGCTTTTTGTGTGGTACTTTGTGCCTTTCTCATGTCAAGGGCTTTATCCACGTTAATCTCATTTAACCTTAACAACCCCGGTAGGTACTACAGTCACCCCATTCCACAGGTGAGAAAACCAAGGCGCTAAGTTACGCGTACCAAGAGCTTAAGAAGCGGAGCTGGTGGTTGGTCACTTGGCCTGCAGAAAGCGGCCCCGTGCCCCACCCCGCCAGCCTGCTTTGAAGCCATGAGATTTCTTGACTGCGTGCTGTTTTTGCCAAACCCGTGGTGTGTGTTGAATTCAGCACGCTCCTGTGCCCTGTGGAGTGGCCAAATAGGCATTCCTTAGAATGGGCACCCAGATCTAGTCTTTGACCCGAGAGGGAGGAGCTGGCTGTCACCAGCTCTGTGAGTGGGAATTTAAATGCCCTGGAAGCTTAGTGCGGGAGGCACGAGACAGATCTGACCCTCAGCAAGCCGGTGGCTTCTTCCCGTTCCCTCCTGGACACCCGTTCCAAGTCAGTCCCCCAGCTTGGTCGGTTGCCTGTCCCCGATGGCCCCGGCGGGCCGACCCTGGCGCGGCCGTCCTGGGACATTGCCAGTCCGGGCTCTGGGAATAAGGTCGTCCCTGCTCAGGCTGACGCCTCAGGCTTTCTCCTGCTTACTGGTCTCAAGAGGGCTTGGCAGGTCTAGATTGAAATGATTAGCGCAGTGGGGCTTCCCCCACTTTTCTTGAGGGATTATGTCACAGTCTATTAGGCAAGCTCCCTCGGTATTTAATCCCACTCTGACATGGGCTTTGCTGGCAGTCTGTGAGGTGGCACCACTGAAGCCTGGCTGCTGTTCCTGGAGCCTGCTTTTGTGCCGGCGTGTCAGTGGTCCCCGGGGATTTCTGCCCCTGTCCCGGCTGGTTCGGTTTTCTTGGTTTTTGTTCTTTCCCCTTATAAGGAAGACAGACCCCATGTTCATACAGAAGTTAAGCTGGGAATTTCCTGTGTTATCAGAGGGCACCCCCTCAGGTGACCAGAGGTTAGCCCAGGGCTCCGAGAAGTTTGAGAGCACAGCATGGCCAGATGGCACTGAGGACGCACAGTGGGCACTGGAGGGTCACCGGCCTGGTGTCCCTTGCAGTCTCCCATTTTCCCTTCGTAAGTCGCCAGCAGGTTTTTCGTTTCTGTTTTTTAAATACTGTTTGTCAATTTTCCCCAAGGCCGTGTAAAGAAACAAAGTTCTAAGTATTCGTGACCCATTTAGTAAAAAGTTGCAAGGTAGATTCTCACTGAGCCCAGATATCCCGGAGGTGTTTGTACAGGTAACGCAGAGCCCCTCTTTCGCTGAAAGTCTTTGGAGGGTGGTTTTGAACACTGTGCTTCCTTGCTTTGGGAAGTCCTTCGGCATGAAAGGGCTTTCTTCAGGAATCATTCTTTTTTTTTTTTTTTTTTTTTAAAGTTTATTTATTTTGAGAGAGTATGTGTACGAGTGGGGGAAGAGCAGAGAGAGGGAGAGAGAAAATCCCAAGCAGTCTCTGTGCTGTCAGCACAGAGCCCAATGCTGGGCTTGAACTCCCAAACCATGAGATGAAGTTGGACACTTAACCGAAGGAGCCACCCAAGTGCCCCCTAGGAATCTTTCTTGATGGCGGTGAGGACTTTGGAGTCGCTCGGGTGGTCTTTGTAGCCAGCCCCCAGGTGTTAGGTGTAGACCCGGCCCACGTATTCAAGCAAGCTGGCTTGTGGGTGCGGGACAGGGATGGAGCCTGACCCTGACCCTGGGCAAGACCTTGGCCTGCCCTGTCACGCTGTGGGCGGAGGTAAGGGAGTGTCTGCAATGTCTGCCCTTGACAAGTCCCATCACCTGTCCTCCCTTTGCGATCCACCTGCCTGAGAGGAGAGCGTTCAAAGCGTCTTGCCATCCCTTCCACTCTGATAGGCTTCTTCTGGCTCCATGAGGGTCTTTTGCTCTGGGAGCCTTATTTTCTTTCATCAGGGCTTCTGGGAGCCCGGGCCCTTCTTGTCTTCCTGTGTCCCCTCCGTCCCCACCTGCCCGGAGATTCTGGCCGCTTTTCCAACATGTCCCTCTGAGCTTTTTCCTTTCCAGACTTGGTTAAGAGTGATGCGCTTTTTAGCTTTTCTTCATGGAGTACGGGCCTCCATCCCCGCCATCCTCGGTTTGTCTCTGGGCCTTCCTCAGCTCTATTTTGTCTGTCTGTCTCCCTGTGTTTCTCCTGAGGTGTGGCAAGCTGGTCTGCCCACAGTGTTCCCAGCAGGGAGGGACATGCGTCCTGTTTGCTGCGGGAACCACACCCTGGCCTCTGCCGTGGTTCCAGGCAGCAGGGAGCCTGCCCTGCTCTGTCCGGCTGGAGAGCTCGCCGAAACCAGTTTCCCCAGTTGGGTGGCACTTTTACTGTGGGCAAGGCCACTCCAGCCGAGGCAGCTTCGTCCCACACCCCGTTCCGTGGGCCGCACCCAAGCCCAAGCCGGAAGGTGCCTCACTTGTCAGGAATGCCGGCTCCTCCCCGCTTTACTCTGCATCTTTCTGCGGGGCTGCCCCCCACCCCCCCACCCCGGCGATTTGCAAGGAGACGACCCGAGACGCACGTCGGTCACCTCCCTGACTTGTTTCCTTTGAAACATCTGAACAAATTTTGTGTCCTGCGTTGTTGTGTGAGAGAGCTGCCCTTGACCTCTGCCGGGCTGTCCGTGGGGTTGGGGCCGCTTGGGTTTTAAGCTGACCTGACCGCTTTGAATGGGGAATGAGAATTAAGAGAGGCTCCTTGACATTTGGGGAGCAGCGCCACCCGGGGCGGACAAAGGGGGTTGCGTGAATGAAAGGACGCGAAGGACTCTTGGAGCATCACCAGTGTGGTGTTTCTCTACAAAGCCCCGTAGAACCTGCGGGGGCTCTGGGGGCGGGCTTGTTCCCACTCTGACCCCGGGCCCGTCTGGGCAGCAAGGTCTTTTCTGCCTGGATTAGATCCTTTCATGGTTAGCCTTTCGGATCCTGGGTTCATTATGCCCCTGTTTATGTTCTCTTCGTTCTCTTCTGGGGTCCTAGTTAATGGAGAAGAAAGGAATTTTTTCTCTTCTCACACACCCTCTTCCATGGTCACGCATGAGGAACTGTGGGAGCTTTTAGAAAAGATTTGCGGAATTTATTTTATTTTTATTTTTTAAACCAACTCCTGTACTTGTGACAACTGTCTCTGTGGGTTTGGCCAAAAACTGGATTCTTTTTCCAGTTGCTTTCCTTCTTAACCCTATTTATCCCCTTCCCTCCTCCCCACCCTGTAGATATTTAGAATGTTCTGTGGGCAGCAACTGTCATGTTTGGAGAGTGCTTTTATTTTTGAAAGTACTAGGGATGGGGGTGATGTGGGGGCAGTGACAAAATCAGGAAATCTGTAGGAAGGGGAGCCAGAAGGGATACCGGGGGTCGGCAGCAGTGGAGTGCGGGGGACCCGACCCCGACAGTTGTTAGGAGGGGACGTCAGGAGGGGTTTGGGGCCTGGGACCCTTCGCTCACCCCTTCCCCTTTCTTCACCTGCTCGGTTGCCCCCCGGCTCCCCAGCCCAGAGCTGTGCAGCCCAGGCTGTGGGTCAGACCTCTGGAGACCAGAGCTTGTCACTGGTAGTTCTTACGGGGCTTTGGTGAAATACATAGTGTCCTTGGGCACAGCCCGAGCCTGCTTGTGGGTCGGGTCCAGGAGACCGGGGGCCGCCTCTGGTTTAGAACCACGGCCCTGTCCCCACTGTGCACAGCCACCACCCTCAGCTCACAGGACACATCCATAGGACTAGGACCAAGCCCGTGACCTCAGGCCGCTATGCACCACTGCACTCTGGGACGGATGCTAATCCGTGTTCCCTGAGAGACAGCAGCCTCTCTGGTCAAGTAAGTCCTGGAAATGCTCTTAAAGCAGGGCTGCGCAGGCTTCTGGACGGTAAGACCTCTGGGAACTTCCATTAGAGCGTTAAGCACTGTGATGCCCCACGGTGGGGATTTCCTCCCCTCATTTGACCACAGAACCTTGTCGCTTTTCTTCTTTAGAATTCGAGGTCCTTGGAGCACTCTGAGAAATACTGACTTAGGGTAGTCCCCGTATCAGTGGCTGCACCTTGAAAATCCAGCGGTGTCGGGCCCCCACCCGCTGTCCCCCAGCCAGGTTACACGAGAGTAGGCGCAGTCCTTGGGGAGGGGGGAGCCGAGAGGCAGCGGCCCCCAGTCCTCCCGAGGAAGGCCTCGCTCTCTTCCTGTCCACCGGGGCCACCCCGCAGCCCTTGGACATCCCCTCTCACACCCCGGCTTCATACTGGCTTTGGGATCGGTTTTAGGGAAGATGGTGAGTTGGAAGAAGGTGAACTGGAGGATGATGGGGCCGAGGAGACCCAGGACACCTCCGGAGGGCCCGAGAGGAGCCGGAAGGAAAAGGGCGAGAAGCACCATAGCGATTCGGACGAGGAGAAGTCTCACCGGAGGCTGAAGCGGAAGCGGAAGAAAGAGAGGGAGAAGGAGAAGAGGAGGTCGAAGAAGAGGAGGAAATCCAAGCACAAAGTAGGTCTGGGAGGGTGCGCCGGGGCCGGGCTGCGTGCGCCGGGCCGGAGCAGAGCCCCGGGGGCCGAGCTCGCCTCGGAGGCCAGAGGGCACGCGTAATAGTGGTGCTTACTCCTTCCCCAAATTGGATAAACAGTTTTATTTTTCTTTAAAGAGTCAGTGGCTCATGCTCCGTTGCCACTAGATGCCCTTAGGTGAGGTGTTTGGCAGGGAGCGCTGGGCCCTTCCGGCACATTCCGGCAGCGTCTGTCCCTGGGCTGACACTGCCCGCAGCGGAATCACTAAGTCCGTTTCTTCTGCCACTGCAGCGCCACGCTTCTTCCAGTGATGACTTCTCGGACTTTTCAGATGACTCGGATTTCAGCCCCAGCGAGAAGGGGCACCGCAAGTACAGAGAGTACAGCCCCCCGTATGCACCGGTGAGTATCTGCCTCGCAGGGGCCCCCGCGGAGCCGGGTAAACCGCCCTTGTTTGCTAAGCACTTGCTGCCTGCCGGGCATTCTTGCACCGCGTGTTACGTGGGTTTTAAGCCTGCAAGATGAGATACTGTTTTTATCCCCGTTTTACAGGTGAGGAAAACAGAGCCGGGAAACCAGCCAGGTGGCAGCCTTGTAGTGTAGGAGCTGGGGTTCGAGCCCAGTCAGTGGCTGATCTCCATTAGCCACCCTGAGACTTCCCTCTTCTTCCCATGGCCTTGGCAGGACTCAGGATGTCCCCGTCCCCCAGAAATCTGCTGATTTATCCTTGGTGTAGCTGACCGTTGTCCACCATTGAGAAATGACCTGTTGTGGAAAATTGGAGCAAATGATCTCAAGGGCCGTAGAGTCAGAAGTCAGATGTTTATCTTGTTATAACACGGAGCTTAAATGGGCATTTAGATTATTTGTTTGGTTTCTGTACTGTTTTTTCTCCCCAGCAAAATCGGTAAGAAAAATTGATGTAGATTTTCAAGTTTTGATGAAAAATGCTTTTAAAGTTAGTAGCTCTAAAATACATCCCTGTGTCCCATGACTCAGCATCATCTGTCCTAACGAATAATTCAATCATATAATGTTACACTTGACGTTGATATGCTAGCAGAGATTCAGACTTTCAACCTGAGACAAGAAATGGAGGGCACACCACAGCTTCGATTAGGAACTAGAGTTTGAGGCTTTTTTTTTTTTTTTAAGATTTTATATTTAAGTAATCTCTACCCCCACGTGGGGATCGAACTCACAACCCCGAGAGCGAGAGTCACACGTGCCACTCACTGAGCCAGCCAGGCACCTGGGGTTGAGGGATTTTAAGGTCTGCTAATGTAGTCCTATGTGTCTATATACTTACGTTCTGTATTTTCTCATAACGAGTGTGGATTTTTTATTTTTTTAAAATTATTTGTTTACGTAGGCTTCACACCCAGCACGGAGCCCAACATGGGGCTTGAACTCATGACCCTGGGATCAAGACCTGAGTTTGAGCTCAAGAATTGGATACTTAACCGACTGAGCCACTCGGGCGCCCCACGAGTGTGGGTCTTTTAAATTAATATAGATTGTTTCTTAGAACAGTTTTAGGTTTGTAGAAAATTCAGCAGATGCCTTAAATGTTTATTTACTTTTTTTTTTAATTTTTTTTTAACGTTTATTTATTTTTGAGACAGAGAGAGCAGGAAAGGGGGAGGGTCAGAGAGAGAGGGAGACACAGAATCGGAAGCAGGCTCCAGGCTCCGAGCCATCAGCCCAGAGCCCGATGCGGGGCTCGAACTCACGGACTGCGAGATCGTGACCTGAGTCGAAGTCGGACACTCAACCGACTGAGCCACCCAGGCGCCCCAATGTTTATTTAGTTTTGAGAGAGAGAGAGAGAGACAGAGAGACAGAGCATGAATGTGGGGGGGGGAGGTGGAGAGGGAGGGAGACACAGAATCTGAAGCAGGCTTCAGGCCCTGAGCTTGCCAGCACAGAGCTCTATCAATGCGGGACTTGAACTCACGAGTTGTGAGATCATGACCTGAGCTGAAGTCGGAAGCTTAACTTGAGCCACCCACGTGTCCCTCTCCTGTTAACGCTTTACGTTATTATGGTACATTTGTTGTAATTGATGAGCCAGTATTGATGCATGGCTATTAATCAAAGCTTATGGTTATACTAAGGTTCCCTCCTCTGTGTTTTACAGTTCTTTTGTTTTCGACAAATGCTCATGTTATGTATTCATCATACACTATCATATAAAATAGTTTCAGTTCCCTAAAAATCCCCTGTGCCTTACCCCCTCCCTCCTCCCTGAGCCTCTGGCAACCCCCAGTCTTTTTCTGTCTCTGTTGTGTTGCCTTTTCCAGAATGTCAGAGAGCTGGACTCCTACAGCGTATAATTTTTTCGGATCAGTTTCTTTTACTTAACAGTATGTGTGTGTGGTTTTCCCGTGTCTTTCCGTAGCCCCGTGGTTCATCTCTTTTAACCAATGAATAATACTCCATTGTCTGGATGGAGCCCAGTTTATTTGTTTACTAAAGGCCATCTTGGTGCTTTCCATTTGTGTGTGTGTGTCTGTCTGTGTGTGTCTGTCTCTGTCTAACTTCATCCGATATCTCTTTGCACTAACACACTTTGGAAAGCATCATTTAATAGCTTTCTAGTTTGGTTGCCAAGTAGATTATTAATTGAATTCCAAGGCCCCAAGAAAAGGTTGACCAAGGAGCACCCCTCTTGGGGGTGCCTGGCTGGCTCCGTGGGTGGAGCGTGCGACTCTTGATCTCCAGGTTAAGATCGAGCCCCATGTTGGGTGTAGAGATTACTTTTATTTATTTATTTCCTTACTTACTTATTATTATTTTTTAAATATTCATTTTTGAGAGAGCAGGGGGAGGGGGGGCAGGGAAAAAGGGAGACAGAGGACCTGAAGTGGTCTCTGTGTCGACAGCAAAGCCTGATGTGGGGCTGAAACTCACAAGCCGAAGTCTGCCGTTGAACCGACTGAGCCACCCCGGTGTCCCTAGACGGCGTCCCCTATAAATAAATAGATGGGTCGATAGGTAGATAGATGTGGGCATCTTGGTGGCTCAGTCGGTTCAGCGGCAGACTCTTGATTTCAGCTCAAGTCATGATTTCAGTTTTGTGAGTTTGAGCCTCATGTCGGGCTCTGTGCTGACAGCACAGAGCCTGCCTTGGGATTTTCTCTCTCTGCTCCTCCCCCACTTGCTCTCGCTCTCAAAATAAATACATAAAAAGGCGCACCCCTGTTGCCTACCAGGCCTCCTCCCCAAATGAGATTGCATATCCCTGGGCAATAGCCCTTTCTCTCCCCTCCCCAGTTCTTCAGGGATCGTGGGGTCCGTGTTTCTAAATTTTCTTACAAGCCGTGGCTCTTTCTGAAGAACAGAAACGTCTGAGCCCACCGCCCAGCGCTCGCTCGTCTGGGAACCAGTGCCCCGAGTGCTGGGGGCTGGTGTGTCGCCGCCGGGGTGGCAGAGGCCCCCAGACAGTGCATCGGTTAAGGGAACAGCGGGGATCTTGGCAGTCCGGGCCCAGGGCCCCGGGGCCGCCTCACGCCCTCTCTCCATCAGTCCCACCAGCAGTACCCCCCGTCGCACACCACGTCCCTGCCCAAGAAGGCCTACTCCAAGATGGACAGCAAAGGCTACGGCATGTACGAAGACTACGAGAACGAGCCGTACGGGGAGTACGAGGGCGACGAGGAGGAGGATATGGGCAAGGAGGACTATGACGACTTCACCAAAGAGCTGAACCAGTACCGGCGCGCGAAGGAGGGCAGCGGCCGGGGCCGAGGTGAGGCCCTGGCGCCTCGGGGGGGAGGGGGTCCGAGCAGATCCGCGGCGGGGGGGAGGGGTGCAGCGTGGGGCCCAGTGCTGCCGAGCCTCCGGTGCGGGAGGAGAGACCGGCAGTGGTTTCGGTGCAGGGGTGAGTACAGGGGAAGGGCGGGGGCTGCACACGCAGGGCCCTGAGAAGAAGCCCCAGTGCTAGGCCTGTGCTTGGGACGCAGCCAGGCTGGTGGGAGGCGGGGAGACGCCCTCGTGGCTGAGGGTTGTTTTCTTCATTCACTTCCTGCTCAGCTGTGAGGAGCGAGAGAAAAGGGACAGCTTGTCAGATACAGGCCAGGGTAACGGACAGCTGGCTGCCCCAGCCTCCTCCCCACTCCTCCCAGCTCCTATCACCCAACAAGGTGTGCAGCCTCTGAACCTTGAACTGTGGCAGTTAGGAGGTGAGGGAGGGCGGAGCACTGGAAACCTTCTAGAACTGGCTCCTGCCTGCGAGGTTTTGCAACCCACAAGGGTTCCTGGGACCTTACAGCTCAGCAGTACTTAGCCCTGACTAAGGCCCAGCTTATTGTTAGCGTGGCTGCTCATTCATTTTCTTGGCAAGTCTTCCCTGGACACCTCCCTGGACAAGCCCTGCTCTTTGGGGAGATTCTAGACCAGTGCCATCCGATAGAAATACAGTGTGGGACACCTGGGTGGCTCAGTCAGTTAAGTGTCCAAGTTAGGCTCAGGTCATGATTTCATGGTCCATGAATGCGAGCCCTGCATTGTGATCTGTGCTCACAGCTCACAGCCTGGAGCCTGCTTGACATTCTGTGTCTCCCTCTCTCTCTCTACCTC